TATATATATATATACCATATTTTTTTTATATATATAAAATATTATATATGTATACATATATATATATATATATATATATAAATATACATACATCTATATATATATATACCCTAGCACTAGGACACCAGAGACCTCGGATCGCCATGAAACAACCATGTGTTGAGTATTCTGGTGCATATTATATATATATATATATATATATATATATATATATATATATATATTTATATATATATAAATATACATACATCTATATATATATATATATATATATATATATACAATACATCGTAGTAGTCTAATTGAGATAAAAAAAATGGATAAAAATGTACATTCCAGACTCTGGTCTGGCATGTTTTATTCTCTGACGACACTAAGCTCCATCAGCTCCATCAACTCTCTCAGCTCCATCGGCTCCATCGGCTCCATCGGAAACGAAAGCTTTTGAAGAAGCGTGTACACACTTAGAGTTTTGGCAAACTTACTTCAACGTCGTTTTTTTTCCAAATCCTACAAACTCAGTCAGATTATGACAATTTGGGTATTCCTCTCGTCATTCCTCGCTGAATTGACGCTGGTGTCGACCAACACAATGTTTCACATTTGTTTCATATATATGTGTTTACTAAATGGAGTTATACATTCACACTGTGGAATCGAATTTGGGGCAAACATACTTGGAAAGTTGTCCTTGTCCCAGATCCTGCAAGACCAGTCAAGAAAATGATCTGACCATCCTTAGCTGAAGTAGCCGCTGTTCTCTGATCGATATTTAGTTCTATCACTATTTAGTTCTATATGTACTTATGAATACACTACGTCCAACGGTAATAACATTACCGTTTCCCATTGATGCTTCTGATGGTATATCAAATACAGCTAGAAAAGAACCTCTTGAATGCCTCTTAATCTTACTATAGCATTTTAGGTCTCCTTAGGTCTTGTGACCCTACCCCTACAATTTGGGACTGAAATGTCGCGGACTTCCCAGGATTTCTCAAATCAGCAGCAACCATCACGAAACATTCGAGGAAGGTTTATGGTTGCCCGTGAAGCCTCGATTTGATTGGGAGTTTCCGCCGGCAATATCTGGGAATTTTATGGTGACTGGAAATTAATTTCCCAAACTACATGGCCCTCTGGATTGGGGTCTCTGCTAAATTTACGATTTGTCGTCGGACGAAACCTGATTTCAGCTCGCGACCCTAATCCAGAGGGCCGTGGTATTTATTTATATATTTAGGTCCCAGTCGGAGACGGGAGACTTCGAACGATCTTTTGATTTCGTATTGAATTTTATTTTATTTTTAAATTTTTTAAATTTTAAAAACAAATATGTAGTACGTATGTAAATATGTATGATGTATACAAAAAGTCAAAAACAACCCAAAATTTAAAACAATTTAAAAAAAAAAAAAAGAGCGACAGCCTGATGAGAAGTAATTTGAAACATATTTAACGAATAAACGATAATGTAAGCCGAAGGGCAATATATATATAATATTGTGAGAAGGGCATTTTCGTACAAAAATATGTTTTAAAATATTTACACATTTCCGTCGCATATTGTGATTGTCATTGAGATGTCATTGATATTGACGAAGTCTGGGCTGTCTCTCTCGTCGGTCGGTTGAAAGTCCTGCTCTCAAACGCATACTATACTGATGGTATCGATAAATATGCAATCTCTCGTTGTTGGGTAGTGTTTTTAGTATATATGTAGTGGCATATAGCAATGTTAAAAGTAGTGCGCAGTTATACATATTTGGTACAACAAAACTACTACTTTTCGGTCTGATCGTGGTCACGCTCACTCTCACTATATCACACTAAACTAAAAATAATCGACACACTTGAAGACCTATCTATAGCGTCAAGGGTGTCATCCGCGCACGTGTTGTACACGTGTACATCTATATAGTCATATATACACACACAAACACACACACACACACACATATATATATATATATATATATATATATATATATATATATATATATATATATATATATATATATATATATATATATATATATATATATATATATATATATGTATATATATATATATATATATATGTATGAATATGAGACATAGCTAGAAACTATACGCGTGCCATATCACAATCTGTTGTA